AAGGCAGCCTTTAATAGGGATTGAATCTCAACATCAAGAAAAAGATTCTCACTACTGGATCAATTGGCAGCATCAAACAGAGAAGAGTTGGAAATTATTGACAGCTTCAGTTTAACAGTCAGTTCTTTTTTTTAAATTTTATTATTTTTGTGTGCGTGTACCGTCAAATCAGATCTGACTGGTACAGGAGGAGATTGTCCCTCCTTCCCCGGCAGAGCATCTGGTGGATTCGAACCATGCGCCTCTGGGACTGTAGTTGCAGCTCCTTGCCACTAGGCCACCAGAGAATCTCTAACACTCAGTTCTAACTCTAGGTTACACGAAAAATACAAGCTTTTGTCACTAGTCAAAAAAATAAGTGACGTTCCTGTGGGTGAGCTTTTTGGCTGGAGGTGCATAGACTGAACTACAGACTTCAAGAACCTACACGGCTTCCTGTCCTCGTGTCACGTAGGCTCGTAAGGACCCTGTGACTGACAGCTCTGAGCCTTCCTCTATCCTAAACCAATCTCATGGTCTGACTCACCTACGTCCATCACCCCAGACTCTTGAGTTCATCTATTTTGTCTGGGGTCTTCCTCTCCATTGCTGTCCCTCCACACTTCCAAGTATAATATCCTTCTCGAAAGACTTGTCCTGGCTACGTGCACAAAGGATGTGAGAAGGGCCTCAAAATCCTTGCCTCAAAGCTGCAGCTTAGTTTCACCAACTGCTGGACGTCCCAGTTCTCTTGTACGTCCACAGTATGTTCACTACTCTTCTATTGTAAAGCACCACAGCTCAAAGGCTTGCATGATTCCTTTGGCATCCTTGGTCACTGTCCAGCTCTCCCATGCACAGCAAGGAAATAAGCAAAGCACACGTAGGTACACAATACACTGGTCTGTGCACAGAGAGGGACACAAGACCAACCCAGGTACTCAGTGTCCTGAAGTGATTGCATCTATGCACAGGAGTCTCCAAGCAAGCCCAGGAGGCAGGTGTAGTTAGAAGTCACAGATGCAACACACCTGCACTCAGGACAAGAGACTGCGTGTCACCTCCTAGTTACTCCACTCAAATGAAGAAGCAGAAATCCATGTTGATGGGATTTGCAGACAGAGCCAGGAGTTGAGGACACAGAGGTGAGGTCACGAGACACATGGCATACGTGGAGGATTAGGGGTGGTGTTGAAATGAATACATCATCAGCTGACAGCCCCTGAACTTTTCTTCTTGGTTCTCTGACAAGTAAAATACTTTTTATAAGTTACTTAGCGATAATCTAGGAAGGAGCACTGCTGGTGATGGGTTAGCCACAGCACAGGCTACCCTCTCAATCAGCAGGAAACAAACATCTGTCTTGTCCATCTCCTAAATGGATGATTCTGTGAATAGTGTGGTTCTGGAGCATGGCTAGGTCACTGATGGATGCTGAACACACCGTACACACCGGGTCTGCTGTGAAACTCTAAATACATAATGCCAAGCAGAACACTAGCACACCCACCATGTATGGAAGAGTGAAATAGTCTACTCTGTCATGGGAGATAATGAAAGAAAAGCCATTCATGAAACAAAACCTCTTGTACAAGTGAGATCTTTATTAATTGCATGGAAAGTATCAATCACGAACCAAAAATTTATAAATGGTATTTTCCCATTTTTATTTTCTGCATCTTTCTGGGTAAGAGTCAAAGACAATATGCCTTTAACAAAGTAAAAGTTTACCTTGAAAAAAGAAAACAATAAAAATTGACGGCAAAAGCCCACACTGGCAAATACAAGGACCAATTTGTTACAATGGTGAAAAAACAGACCCAGCATTTACCATCATTGAAGGACTCCCACACGCATGTGAAAAAAAAGAAAAATAATCGAGAAACCTCTGCAAGTATCTCACGTTGCAAGATAGAAGAAGAGTTCTCCTATAGGACATGATGAGGAAGACTAATTCATTCCTCATTTACCTCTTCATCTGTCTATCTCTAAGTTCTCAGGTGTTCCGTTAGGGTGGAGGATTCCGCAGGGTGAGTATAAGTATGTCCAGGCAGGACAGACGGATCATCTATTTCCTACATTGCTCATCATGGTTTTGTGCTGTGTGAATGCTTGCATGTCCTGATGCCATGTGATTATGGGAAGGTGGCCCCACATTCCTTATATTCAGATGGTCTATTTTGGGGAACGCTTCGGGGATAGTTTGTGTACCAGGGTCACCAAAGGATTCCCTCCATTCCTAAGTTCTCTCTCTTGTGTGAGTTTTTATATGTACTCAAGTGACTCCACGGTGAAAAGGTGTTCCCACATATGTGACAGTCCTAAGATCTCTCTCCAGGGTGAATTAATTCTTCCATGAGGGTAAATGATTGTCAAACTCCTTTCCCACATTCCTTACATTCAGAAGGTCTCTCCGCTGTGGGAATTTGTGTGTGGACAGTTAGGCTGAAGGTGACACATTGATTTCTCTATTCCTTACATTCCTAAGGTCTGTCGGCTCTGCGAATCTTAATGTTTGGTGAGGTAACCCGCCGCTGAAATGGTTTTCACATACTCCTTATATTCATAAGGTCTCTCTCCCGGGTGAATTCTTCTACATACAGTGGGACGCCCTGAATGTCAAAATATTTTCCCACATTTCTGACATTTATACGGTCTCTCTCCTGTGTGAACAATTCTATGTGTGGTAAGGTTATTTGATGGTGAAAATGTTTCCCCACATTCCTGACATTCATAGGAGTGGAAGACCGAAATAAAATTTTATTATTAATAATAAACCTAGTGTTCTATCAGGAGATGAGAGAGGGTTAACAGAAGCCAGAATTCACCCTGTGGCACTATGGCATGACTTAAGAGTCCACTTTGCTTTTAGTTTGTATTTACTGAATGCCTCCCTCCTGAGACAAGCATAAAATAAACAACAGAGAAGAACCTGGCCTTATCTGCAAAAGACGTTCCCATGATCCCGTGGTTTTCTTTTATACTTCCCCATGATTTTACTCTGTTCACCTTCGTTATTTCTCTCAATAAATACTCAGGAAGCATGGCTTGGGGGTGTCAGTGGAGAGCTGCTGGTTCCCTGTTTTTCACACTCTCTGTTCTATTTCATTCCTGGGAGGCTCTCTCATTATTAATAATTATATTTTTTACCCTCAGTCTGCAATAACTATGGTCTCTTTCTTGAGTGAATTCTTCTATGTTCAGTGAGATTATCTGATCGAGCAAATGTTTTCCCACATTCTTGACATTTGTAAGGTCTCTCTCCTGTGTGGACTCTTCTATGTCCAAGGAGGGAACTGGAATCTGAAAATTTTTTCCCACAGTCCTCACATTCATAAGGTCTCTCTCCTGTGTGGACTCTTCTATGTACAGTGAGGGTACCTGATTGTGAAAAAGCTTTCCCACAGTCCTGACATTCGTAAGGTCTCTCTCCTGTGTGCAGTCTTCTATGTACAGTCAAGGCACCTGAATGGGAAAAAGCTTTCCCACAGTCCTGACATTCGTAGGGTCTCTCTCCTGTGTGAATTCTTCTATGGCTAGTGAGGTGACTTGATTGTGAAAATGTTTTCCCACAGTCCTGACATTCGTAAGGTCTCTCTCCAGTGTGAACTCTTCTATGTGACGGGAGCTGACTTGCATGTGCAAAAGTTTTCCCACAGTCCTTACATTCATAAGGTCTCTCTCCTGTGTGGACTCTTCTATGGACAGTGAGGGCCACTGAGTCAGAATAGGCTTTCCCACATTCCTGACATACGTAAGGTCTCTCTCCAGTGTGAATTCTTCTATGTAACGTGCAGAGCCGTGATTGTGAAAATGTTTTCCCACAGTCCTGACATTTGAAAGGTCTCTCTCCTGTGTGGAGTCTTCTATGTCCAGTGAGGGCATGTGAATATGCAAAAGTTTTCCCACAGTCTTGACATTCATAAGGTCTCTCTCCTGTGTGGACTCTTCTATGGACAGTGAGAGCACCTGAATCTAAATAGGCTTTCCCACATTCCTGACATACGTAAGGTCTCTCTCCAGTGTGAATTCTTCTATG